TGGACTTTCCTGCCCGGGCTGGCTTTGAACCGCGATCCTCAGATCTCAGCCTCCTGAGTAGCTAGGATTACAGGCATGAGCCACCAGCGCCCGGCAATCCTTAGCTTTTTCAACACAGGTTGGTGTTCTATCACTTGAGCCACAACTCCACTTTTTTTTTTGGTTGGTCATGGGACTTGAACTCTTCAGCTCAAAGATAGTGCTCTACCACTTTAAGCCACAATGCCACTTCTGGTCTTCTGGTGGTTAATTGGAGATAAGAATCTCATGCACTTTCCTGCCCAAGCTGGCTTTGAACTGTGATCCTCAGATCTCAGCCTTCTGAGTATTTAAAATTACAGGTGTGATCAACCAGCACCTGGCTTCACAGCTCCACTTTTGAGTTTTTCTGCTCGTGCTGGTTTAGAGCTGAGCCTCCTGAGTAGCTAGTGTTCTAGGTGTGAGCTACTGGTGCCAGCTCAGTGTTTTGTTTTTGTTGTTGTTGGTCATAGGGCTTGAACTCAGGGCCTGAGTACTATCCTCAGCTTTTTCATTCAAGGCTAGTGCCCTACCAGTTTGAGTTTTCTGGTGGTTAATTGGAGATAAAAAGACAGAATTTCTGCCCTGGCTGGCTTCAAATCGCAATCCTCAGATAATAGCTCCTGAGTAGCTAGGATAAGAGGCATGGGCCACCAGCGCCTGGCTTCAGGTTCATTTTTCATCAGACAAAGTCTAGCACTGGCTTTCTACCACAACCAGTCTTGTCCAGGTTATGCATTTTCCAGCCCCTGAGCAAGAGGCCCTCCCCGACCCCATGTTGGCTCTAGTGAAGTTTTTCACCTGTGTGCCATTCCACTGTTTGTGAAGACACTTGGTCTCAGCATCACCAGGCCTCCAAGCAGCACAATGAGGCCAATGTGCAGACTACTGCACCTTGCCACATCCCAGGGGCCCCCACGACAGGCTGGAAGAAGCTAGGGCTAGCTCTCCATCCAAGAGTGACATGAGGGAGTTTGGACTACTCATCTTTTGCATGACTTGCCAGTCAGCAAAGGACCAAAAGACCAAAGGCATCCCCAGTGGAGACAGTTTGCGGCCACCCCAACACAAACCCTGCAGGGAAGGGCTGGGGCCACAGGCTCTGAAACTGGGTGATTGGACTTGGAAGGCTTCTGGCTCAACACCCAGGGGCAGGGCCCATACCCAGGAACATCTGGTGCAGAACTGGCAGGGCTGGTGTGTTGACAAATGGGTTGTTTTGCTTTTTTTTTTTTTTTTTTGGGTCCGGTCATGGGGCCCTAACTCTGGGCCTGGGCGCTGACCCTCAGCTCTTCAGCTCAAGGCTAGCGCTTTACCACTTGAGCCACAGCACCACTTCCGGCTTTTTTTTTCTTTTTGCTTATGTGGTGCTGAGGAATGGAACCCAGGGCCTCATGCATGCAAGTCAAGCACTCTACCACTGAGCCACCTTCCAGCCCCTTGTTTTGCTTTTTTAAGACAAAATCTTGCTATACATGGGAACTCCTGCTCGTCAGATCTGATGGCAGGCCTCGGCCCAACAGGCAGGTGGGAGAATGGTGGGGAAGCATCTGGGCCCACAGGCAACAGGGGCCGTGAGGGAGGCAGGGAAGGGCTTCCTGGCTACATGAAGCACCTGCAGCTTGCTTCTGAAGTCACGCCCTCAGGGTTTCTAGGAAGAGCTGAGGGAAGGACACAAGCTTTTTTGTTCCCAGGAGATTCCAAAGCCATGTTAGGAAGTGCCATGTCACACCTGGCTGCTTCTGGGAGCAGGGCCAGCCTCCTGAGTCCCTGAAACAGAGGAGTTGGGGCTGCCATCTGACCCCAATGGCGGATAGAAGTTCAGCCTCTGGAAGGGAACGGGACATTCACAGATGGACAGAAGGGCCAAGCCTACCCTATTCAGCATGGGCATGCAGGAGACGCAATGGAAGTCTCGAGAAGGCAATGAAGGTCTGCTGGGTGTACACCAGACGGCAAGGCTGAGCGCTGCTTGGCACAGTTACACTGTGAAGATGCAGAGGATGCTTCTCCTGGGCCTGAGTCAGAAGGGGCCGCTCACTACATGCTGTCCTGAGATAATCTTGCTAGAGTATAAATTAGTACCAGGGAAAGAGAAACCACATGCTAGAAGTTAGTTTAAAAGGACCTTTTTTTTTTTATTAAACTTGTAGCTCTCTTCTCTCAGAATCCTAATAAAAAAAATCCTTGTTTCTACTTTAAAAAACAAAACACAACACAACTTAAACAAATGAACAAGGGAAAATTATGGCGATGACTGCTGGGATGAGAAAGGAGACGCTGGGGCTCTCCACCTGGAGGACAGCAGCCACCAAGGTGGTGAATCAGCTTCCAGCAGAGCCACCAGGATTGGCAGGTGCCTTCCCTGCTGGCCTGCCACCTGGGTAACATGCAGCAAAGCCCTAATGATCTCACAGTTACTAGAAATCACTCTATTTAAAAGCACACGGTCCCCGCCCACCCACCCCATTCTGGTAGCAGAGCTGTCACAGGACATATGTGTTCTTCACCAGCTGCTCCTTGTCATCTGCAGTGCTCCAGACAGCTTGGAGTGCTTGCTCCTGCCTTCTTCGCGCCAGCCGGATCAGGCAGACCACAGAGGCTCCCAGGAGAACGATCAGGACCATCACAAACAGTCCCACCAGAACCACAGCTAAGGATGAGAGGAGATAGGTGAGAGGAGGAAGCACACAGCCACAGAGGGCCAGCAGGGAAGTAGAAGCATGACTCAAGTAGTACAACACTAGCCTTGAGCAAAAAAGCCTTATAAGAGAACTTGGGGCCTTGAGTTCAAAGTCCAGTTCCATATACATGTGCACACACACACACACACACACACATATACACACACAGAACAGACACAAACAGCTGGGCACCAGTGGCTCACACCTGGAATCCTAGCTACTCAGGAGGCTAAGAACTAAGGACAGTTTAAAGCCAGCCTGAGCACGAAAGTCTGTGAAACTCTTAGCTCCAATTAACCACTAAAAAGCCAGAAATGGAGCTGTGGCTCAAGTGGTAGAGCCCTAGCCTTGAGCAAAAGAAGCTTAGGGATAGTGCTTAGGCCCTGAGTTCAGGCCCCAGGACTGGCACCAAGAAATAAAAAAACAAAAACAAAAAAACATGTGTACTCATACTCCAATGATCTCTCACAAAAGCCCTGTACGGGAGTTCCAGGCCAACCAAACACAGGTGCAAAACGCTGACTTTGTGGGGGTGGGGTAGAAACATAAAACCCCAAAGGCACAGTACCCAGCAACAGAGAATGGATGAAGTCAGGGTGGAGTGAGGGACCCTGGTGCCTTAATTGTCCCCAGTGATCCCACTGGTCAGTTAGGGTGCTTTCTTCCTGAGTCCTGTGACTTTCCTGTAAAGGCACCTGGCTCCCCTCCTCCACACTTCACATCTCAGCCCAGCTCTGGGGCTATTCTCTGGCCAGCTCCACCCCCAGCCTAGGAAGCCAAGTTCCAGCTTCTAGAACAAGGCAGACTTGCAAGGCCAGGTATTAGCTCCTAGGCAGAAGAACAGGTCAAGAAGAAGCCAAACCAGTAAGGCAGGACTCAGGCTCAGAAATACCAATGGGAGGAAACAGCCTCCTCAGGCCGCACTGCTTGGGGCCTAGGCTCCAAATTTCTGCCAACCCTGACCAACTCTATAACCCACAGCAGTAAAGTTCCCTTCACTCAGGCCAGCCTCAGGCCCAGGCACCCAGGTCCACAGGCCTCCCGAAGAGGGCCTGTTTCCAGCCACACCCAGCCTAGGCGAGACTTGGGGGAATGCTTGACTCACACCTCCTAACCCAAGTACAGGGTGACACCCGGGGTAGTGGTTGGACAGTCATCTACTACATGTTGCAAGCTGTTGCCATTCTCCACCACAAAGCCACTTATACTTAAAGACAACACAGGCCTGCAGAAAACATGCCTGAATAGAGCTGAGTCAAAGATGGCAGACGATGGGCATATGGGAAGAGGGGTAAGAAGTTACTTACCTTTGCTGCCGGGGGTCAGGACAGGATACATCTGTTTGCCTGGAAGAAAACACATTCCTCCTTAGGAGGTCTGCCCATGGTCCTCCCCACTGCTGGGCCCCTTCAGACTCTCCCTAATCCTTGAGGCCTTCGCAGAAATTTTTCCTTTTTCCTGACAGACTGCATTACAGGCTTTCCAGGGGCTCCGAGGCTTTGTCCACTGCTGGGGTCCACAGGACAGCATCAGCCAGGCTCTGGCTCTAAGGAATGGAAAAGGGTTTAGGGTTGTGGGGTTCAGGGTCACACACTCACCAAAGCAGTGCTGCATACAGGCCTCCTGGGAGAGGTAGCTGTTCTTGTTGCCCCGACAACCGCCATAGATGAACTTATCACAGGAATTCTTCTCAGAATCAAAGTACCAGCGTGGGAAGGCGGCCCGGCAGGGCCCTGTGAAAGCCTTGGCTGCACAGTATTCTGGGAACAAGAGCAAGAGAGCCTGATAAGCAGCAATTAGCAGCTCCTACAGGAGATGGAGCAGTGGGCTGTGGTCCACAGAGATCCACTTCCCCTCCATTTGCCTGCCCCACATTTCCAGGCACTTCTGGGCAGCCATGACTGCAATCTGGGGACTATACTGTTCAGCCTGTTCCAGGTCCTGACTGAGCCCCTGTGAGACCCATCCCAGAACCCCTGCTCCATCTACAGATCCACGAGGCCTTGTGGCAGCAACCTGCCCACAGCTGCGGAGACGTGAGCCAGGGTAAGTCAGGAACCACATACTAGGCTGCCTGACTGGAGTCTTCTCCACTGGCAGTCAGCTTCCTAACACCCACTGAGGCCTGTCGTAACAATCCCAACCCCAGACAGCAAGCACCTGGAAAGCCAGCTCTAAATACCCCACCTGGTAAAAAAACAAAAACACAAAAACCCACATTTTTAAAAGTTCTACCTTCATAGTTGAAACTATCCTCGGAAAGGTCACTGGAATCCTGTCTTCTGGGAACTGAAACATAAATACCGGTGTCAGGAACAGTGACAGACACTGGACATGTCCTTGCAGGGCCCACAGAGGGATACAGGGTCACTTCAGGGAGGGGGTGTGTCCACCCCCTCCCTGGCCCCATGGCCTTTAGTAACCCCGAGGCCAGTCTCCTGCAACCTCATGCGTTACCTGGGAGCCACCCCACCATTTTCAGTGTCATCACAAGTTGCTCTTGTCTGTACTCACTGACACTGGGGCAGTTCTCTCCAGTATGAAACCACAGTCAGTTACCATTGGCCCCAGGGCTCTGATGACCTTGGACAGACTAGCAAGAGTGCACATGGGGCCTGGATTCCTGGCATAGTAAACCAGAAAGTAGCTCTAACTCTGGCAATCTGCAAGCCAGCCGACCCCTGGCAGCCAATGAATTCACAGAAGAGCCCTGCTATCAGAGTGGGTGGGCCTAGATACAACCAGAGTGTTGGCACTGGCCACCAGGGTCCACTTGGCCCTTGAGGGAGGTAGGGTGGAGTCCCTCCCTCCAGGCAGGGCAAGGCAGGGCAGGGTAGGGCAGGGCAAGGCAAGGCAAGGCAGGGCAGGGCAGGGTCTCTGCTGGGCCTGGCTCAGGGTGCACTCACCCAGGCTCCTGCCGCAGAGTCCCTTAAGCATAAAGAAGGAGCGGGGCAGCTGCTGTGAGCACTACAAAGCAAGCTAACACAAAGCTCGAGATCAAGGACTGAGGTGACAGGAAGGGTGGCAGGAGACAGAATTTAGCAGAGAGAGGGAGACCACAAGACAAGGACAATAGGTAACAATGGAGAGCCATGCAACAAGGGGCTGAGGCAGCAGGTGGCACTGCCAAAGTTGGAGCCGCTCCTGCCAGCTGGACAGGGAAAAGGCTCCCCTGTGTCAGAACTCTGGAGCCAGAAGTCGGCTGCCCATTGTTTACCCATTCTGAGCCAGCAGAAGCAAGACAGCTTTTATACTTCCTTCATTCCACCCTGGGTCTTTGGAAGAACCTACCACTTGGGACAGGGGATTCTGCTCCATTTCTGCTGGCGGCATGGCTGACAACGTTCTCTGCAAGGACAAGGGGGACACATAGTGAGTGACACAGTGTCCTCCAGGGCTGCCTGGAGGACAAAACTAGCAGACAGGTTGGTCAGGGTGGGTCCTGTGTGCCTTTCCACCAACTCCCATTTCTCCTTTCTGTGAGAACTTGAGCACACACGGGGACCACAAACCTACTTCCACATGGAAATGAGGAACAGAGATCAACTAAGACCATATCTGAGGATTCAACTGGAAGTCAGCTGCAGGGAATTTTTTTGGGGGGGAGGTGTCAGTCCTGGGGCTTCAACTCAAGGCCTGGGCACTGCTCCTGAGCTGCTTTTGCTCAAGGCTCTATGATTTGAGCCACAGCTCCACTTCTAGCTTTTTTCAGGGTAGTTTATTGGACTTTCCTGCCTGTGCTGGCTTCAAACCTTGATCCTCAGATCTCAGCCTCCTGAGTAGCTAGGATTACAGGCAGTAGCTACTGGCACCTGGCTTGGGAATTATTATTTAAGCCAGAGGGTTTCCAGGGCCGAATCATGTTTAATTGTATTGACTTATTTACAAATGTTAATGAATAACACAGTGTAAAAGTACCTAGTATCTCTGAATACACTGAAAATGGTTGAAATGGCACTGGGCATGGTGGCGCATTCCGTAGTTCCTGCTACTAGAAACGCTGAGATAGGAGGATTACTTTGAACCCACAATTTTGAGAACAGTCTAGGCAATATAGTAAGATCTTGTTATAAAATTTTAAAAGCATATGAATTTTAAAAAGGGGAAAGGGGGCTGGGAAGGTGGCTCAGTGGTAGAGTGCTTGCCTTGCATGTGTAAGGCCCTAGGTTCGATTCCTCGGCACCACATAAGCAGAAAAAGCCAGAAATGGCTCTGTGGCTCAAGTGGTAGAGCGCTAACCTTGAGCTGAAGAGCTGAGGGACAGCATAAGTCTGATCAAGGTACATTGTGTAGTAATAAAAACAAAGCTTATAATCTTCAGTTTCATATAGTATTTGTGTTTCTTTTTTTATATTTCATTTGAGGCAGGGTTTCCCTATGCTGCCCAGGCTGGCCTCAAACTCCTGGGTTTAAGGGAACCTCCTGTCCTCTTCCCCAGCTCCTGAGTAATTAAGTCACCTGCCACCAACCCCAGCCCAGGATGCATATTTGATCTCCACGAGCTAAGGGGGTGGGCAGAGAGGGCAGCTCCGAGGGAGTCCCAGGAGGCCTTGTGCAGAGGACCTGGGCTGGACTGACCTGACCTGATGTCATTCAATAGAAACTTCACCAACCAGCTCTCCCATCTCCACCAATCAACCCCCAGCAATCTGGCTAGGAAGTTGGCCCACATGGCCTACGGTGGAGGCACAGGGATGTGGCTGGTCCCCTGGGTGGTTCCAGTTCTCATTACAAATTAATAAGCCAGCGTCCTCCTCCCACAGGAGAGCTTGTCTGTCTAGAAGAGAATATGCTGTGCGACAAGCTGCAGAGATGAGGAGCTCAGGCACCTTCTGCTCTCCCCCAGGCTCCGGTGAATGCCCACACCCACAAAAGAGCTGCCCAGCTTTTGTGGCTGGGCTGCACTCTGGCCCACCTCCTGGGAGATGCAGAACCCGCCTTAGGTCCACTGTCTCATGCTCCTTTCCTCAACACTTCAACCCTCTTCCTGGGAGGATGAGAGAGCAGAGTAAAGCTGCTCATAGTTGATGATAAGAAACAAAAGTGAGCTGGGTGCCAGTGGCTCACACCTGTAATCCTAGCTACTCAGGAGACTGAGATCTGAGGATCCTGGTTCAAAGCCAGCCTGGAAAGGCTGTGAGACTCTTTATCTCCAACAAACCACCAGAAAACTGGAAGTGGCGCTGTGGCTCAAGTGGTAGAGCACTAGCCTTGAGCTGAACAGCTGAGGGACAGTGCTCAGCGCTACAACACACACACACACACACACACACACACACACACACACACACACACACACGTGGTGTTTTCTTCAGTTACACACACACACACACACACGTACGTGGTGTTTTCTTCAGTTGCCATCTCCTGACATTAATACCAGTTGTCTCACACACACACACATACATGGTGTTTTCTTCAGTTGCCATCTCCTGACATTAATACCAGTTGTTACCCAAAGGTGAAGGGCTAGCCTATACGAAGTCATAGCTGCCTCTCAGCTCTTCAAACTCTTGCAAAGGACAGGAAGACCTCTCCTTCAGACACTGGGTGACTGCCAGCCTCTTGTGACCACTGTGCTGCAGACCTGAGGCCACAGGGAGGTAGCTGTCCTTTCTTTATACACAACTTAAATGAGCTCATGTGATCACTGCAGAGTGCAAAGCCAGGGGGGTGAACAGACAGTCAACATACACCTCTAACCAGCACAGAGCCAGCATTTATCACCAAATTAGAAGAAAAAGAAAAGAAAAAAAAGGCCGGATTGTGGCTCACCCGTGTAATCCTAGAGACTCAGGAGGCTGAGATCTGAGGATTGCAGGTCAAAGCCAGCCCAGGCAGGAAAGTCCGTGAGACTCTTTTTTGTGTTGTTGTTGTTGGTAGTGGGGGTTGATCTCTGAGCCTGAGCCCTGTCCCTCAGCTCTTCAACTCAAGGCTAGTGCTCTACCACTTGAGCTACAGCACCACTTCTAGTTTTCTAGTGGTTTATTGGAGATAAGAGTCTCATGGACTTTCCTGCCCAGGCTGGCTTAGAACAGTGATCCTCAGATCTCAGCCTCCTGAGTAGCTAGGATTACAGGTGTGAGCCACTGGCGCCGGCTTTGTGAGACTCTTATCTCCAATTAACCACTAGAAAACTTGGAAGTGATGCAGTGGCTCAAGTGGTTAGAATGTTTGCCTTCAGCTGCAGAGCTCATCAGGGAGGGCGCCCAAGCCCAGAGTTCAAGCCCCATGACTAACAGCAGGTAGGCCCTGAGTTCCAGCCCTAGTACCAGTGCATGCATGACACCCCCCCAAAAAATTATCAAGACAAGTTGCATGAAGGCTGGGGGAGTATTAGCTCAGGTACAATCCACAAGGCCCTAGGTTCAATCCCTAGTGTAGGACAAAACACAAAAACAGAAAAGCTGCATAGAGTCCAATGCTAAGGACTGCCTGAGAGCCAGTGCCTCCCTGCCCCTTCCTGGCTGTGTCACGGGGGGCACACTGCTGTATCTTCAGATTTTATTTAAACTTTAAGGCTGTAGGAGTCAACATTTTTTCTTTTTCTTTTTGTTGTTGGTCGTGGGGCTTGAACTCTGGGCCTGGGCACTGGGCCTGGGCACTGTCCCTCAGCTCTGTCCCTTAGCTGAAGCTCAAGGCTAGTGCTCTAGCACTTGAACCACAGCACCACTTTCAGCTTTTTCTGTTTATGTGGTGCTGAGGAATCGAACCCAGGACCTCATGCATGCGAGGCAAGCATTCTACCATTGAGCCACCTTCCCAGCCCGAGTCAACATTCTCCTCTTCCCTTTTTCCTGTCCATGCTGGTGTCTGCCGCTGGTACTGTGTCCCCACATATCAACATCAATGTCACAACACAATTCCTCACAGGCCAGGGCTGGAGAAGCATGGATTCCAGTGCACATGGCTGGAGGGTAGCTCTTCTTTTTTTGTGTGTGTGGAGGGGGGGAAGAAAGGGGACGGGGTGTCTAAGACTTGAGACGAACTCAGTCTAATGCTTTTGCTCACTGGCTAGCACTCTACCAACTGAGCCACCCATAGAGCTAACTTGTAACTTTGAGAGCTTTTCACTTCATCTGTCCTATTATACCTCTGGGTACAAAGAACCCAGGAACAGGGCTGCCTGTGTGAGTGGATCAGGATATCATGGTTTCCTGGGCCAGGCTGGTGAGGCATCCGTGCTTACCAGTGTTCAAGGAGGGGAAAGGTTAGAAGAGATGGTGTTTCCATCCTCCTGCAGACATGCTGTTAAAGCACTGTGTGGCCATCAGGACCTGCTCACTGAACCCATTCAGTCTGCTTCCGAATCCCCCTACTTTCCCTGTAAAGAACCAGTACAAGGGGCAGCAACATCCCTTCCCAGACCACCATCTTACCTGTGATGCCAGCACATTTCTCAAGACACTCCTCCTTGCTCAGGAAATTATTGTCATTGCCCTCACAGCCTCCATACACAAATGGGTGGCAGGACCTGTCAGTGACATTGTACCACCACCTGGGGATAGAGGCCCGGCACCTCCCCACCACCTTGGTGACCAGGCAAGAGTCTGAAAGACAAAGCAGAAGTCATTCGCTACATTTATGTCATTGGCTGGGAATAATCTTGGACATGCAGGGTAGATTTGTGTTTCTGTTGGCAATGGGTATGAAATTAGGTATTTCTCAAAACTACTACACAATACACAATATACACAATAACCAGCACAGCAGAGAAGACATTCCGTACATCCTGCGGAGCAGAGTGGTGCATTCATGTATTCCAGCATGCTGAAGAGTAAAGTAAGGGAATGAGAAGAGTTCAAGGCCAGCCTATGTAGCGCTGTCTCAAATGACTGAAGGGGAAGAAGGAAGAGAAAGAGAAGAGAGGGAAGAAGATAAGAGAGGAAAGGAGGAAAAAGGAGAGGGGAGAAGGAGACATTCTGAAGCAGGAAGCTTTCATGTAAGAGCAACCATCCATAAAGTCAGTAGTTAGAGCATTCCTTGTCTGGGTGTTTCACAAGGATGAAATCATTCATCACCTGAGACAGGAAGTGGGTGAGTGGACACCTGGGGCTGACAATGGGGCTGGAAAGTAATTGCAAATGGACACAGGAGTCTGGGGAATGATGTCAATGTTCTAAAATTGCACTGTTGTGACAATTCTTAAAATGTTTAAAGAGAAGTATATTTAAAATAAGATTTTATGGTACACAAATTTTTAAAAAATAGTAAGGGCCAGGTACAGTGGCCCTTGCTGTATTCCTAGGTACTAGAGTAGGAACAGGAGGACCATCTGACAACAGGAGTTCAAAGTTAGCCTGAGCAACATAATGAGACCCTGTCTTTAAAAATAAATAAGTAAATAAAATATACAGGGCATGTTTTGCCTGGAAAAACATCAACCAGAACCAGGTGGCATACACCTGTGCCAGGAATTTTTTGACAATGTGCCAAAGGCCACAAAACATAGGATCAAGCAGGCCCAGAGTAAACAAACTGCTGGGGGTGGGGTCTGGCCTAAGCTAAGGCCATCTACAGCTGAAGGCAGCGCTGCTAATCAACCTAATGGAGAGACAAGATGGACAGGACCCTCCCGATCCAGGAAGGAAGGGCTGGAACAGTGACAGCCCCACCCTCATCCCATGCTCTGCCAAGATTAAAGTGCTGGCACCCCGGCCTCAGGTCCTGTTGGGCCTGCCTGGGAGAGCATTCTGTACAGACAGCTGCTCACATCTGCTAGGATTTGTCTCACACTAGCTTCACAGCTTAGGTTCAAGCAGCTTCTTTAAAGTTGCTAGATAAAAGAGGCCTTCACTGTCAGTGACAGTATGTATGGGCAAGATGGCAGACAAGGATCATAAATTGTTCTCACTGGGGGCTGGGAATGTGGCTTAGTGGTAGAGTGCTTGCTTAGCATGCATGAAGCCCTGGGTTCAATTCCTCACCACCATATAAACAGAAAAAGCCAGAAGTGGCACTGTGGCTAATGTGGTAGAGGGCCTTGAGCACCTGAGCAAAAGAAGCTCAGGGACAGTGCCCAAGCCCTGAGTTTAAGCCCCCAGATTGGCAAAACAAAACAAAACAAACAAAAAAAACACCAGGCACCGGGGCTCATGCCTATAACCCTAGCTACTCAGAAGACTGCAATCTGATGATCGCAGTTCAAAGCCAGCAATGCAGTGAAGTCCCCGTGAGACTCTTTTCTCCAATGAATCACCAGAAAATCTGAAATGGCACTGTGGCTCAAAGTGGCAGAGTGCTAGCCTTGAGCAAAAAAGCTCAGGGATTAGTGCCCAGTCCTGAGTTCAAGCCCCATGACCAACCAAAATACAAAAAAAAAAAAGAAGAAGAAAAAAGAAGAAGAAATGAGGGCAGACTGAGATAAAAATACAAAATATTTGCTTATTTCCTAACCTCTCACTTCCTACCTCCTTCAAGAGTGACACGAGGTCTGAAGTGCACATCACTTCCAATGGTCACAAAGTTAGCAGCCACCATCCAGGCTTGGGGTGACTAAAACCAGGCAAACAGCAGGGCTAGTATATGAAGCCACCTGACCTTTCATTCAGGGAACTTTGGAGCCAATACCAGGACCTTCAGAAGGTAAGAAAAATCTACATCAACGGCAGACAGTAGGAAAAGCCACAAAACTGAATTTTCTAAAGCCAAACCATTCCTGAGTCTCTACCACTGCCTGAGGCCACCCTCTTCACGACTCTGCAATGACTGTTTTCCCTCACACTTCTAGGACAGGTTAGTTGACCACAACAGACCCAAAGCACTGGCTACAGCTAGGGAATCTGGCTGGACATGCCTTCAGGAAATTATTCTTTAATGGTACTTCTATTACTAAATGATAAGGTGACTGCTCCTGAAAGCTAAGTGTCAAGTCCTTTTCTGTCATTGTTGGTCTTCATAGCAATCACAAACAACCACCAAACAACAACAGTTCTCTCTTCCACCCATGCGCTCTCCCCACCCCCACACTTCAATCCCATTCCTATGTTCACAAATGCCAAGATACAAAACTAAGAACATCCTATGCACTTTCAAAACACAGATAACCCAGAAAAATGCTGAAATTCCAATGCATTTACTTTCTTCCTTCCTTCCTTCCATTCTTTCTGTTGCTAGTCCTGGGGCTTGAACTCAGGGCCTGGGTACTGTCCTTCCTTGAGTTTTTTTTGCTTAAGGCTAACACTCTTACCACTTGAGCTACAGTGCCATTTCCGGCTTTTTCTTTCTTTTTTGTTGGTCGTGGGGTCTGAACTCTGGGCCTGAGCACTGTCCCTCAGCTCTTCAGCTCAAGGCTAGCGCTCTACCACTTGAGCCACAGTGCCATTTCCAGCTTTTTCTGTGTATGTGGTACTGAGTAATCGAACCCTGGGCTTCATGCGTGTTAGGCAAGCACTCTACCACTAAGCCACATTCCCACCCTCAAAATATTCACTTTCAAATGAGTTAAGAAAAAATGGACCAGAAATGGTTAAAAGCACCTATTATCTGAAATATGAACCTACAGTACAAAATCCAGGCAGGTATTTGAACTGACATTGTGAACCCAGGGGTCTGTGGGTGTGGGCAACAGGTTTCTCGAGTTCTTGGGTCACTGGAGGTTTAACAACCAGCTCTTCTTTACACTACCAGCTGCAATGACAGGTCTGCAGTCACCTTCTAACAAGGGCAATAGAGAAACTTTAGGCTCTGCCTGCCTTATGGGTATTAGACAGCAAAAAATTATTCTCTAAAAATGCATAATGGCATCTGTGCCTACTTTGAAAGTCAATTTTTGTGGCTCTTTTTTTTTTTTGGTCAATCATGGGGCTTGAACTCGGCCTGGGTGCTGCCCTCAGCTCTTCAGCTCAAGATGAGCACTCTACCACTTGAGTGACAGTGCCATTTCCAGTTTTCTAGTGGTTAGCTGGAGATAAGAGTCTCATGGACTTTCTTGCCTGAGCTGGCTTTGAACCCTGATCCTCAGATCTCAGCCTCCAGAAATAGCTAGGATTACAGGTGTGAGGCACCAGCACCTGGCGGCAAGTTATGCTTACAATGAGTGGTATAGGAGATGGAACCCTATACCTGCTAATCAAGTGCTCTTACAATAGAGCTACCTACTTTTTTTTTTTTTGTCATCAGTCATGGGGCTTGAACTCAGGGCCTAGGTGCTATCCCTGAGCTCTTTCACTCAAGGATAGCTCTCTAGACCACTCTGAGCCACAGGTTTTCTGGAAGTTAACTGGAGAGAAGAGTCTTACAGACTTCTGTTCCCAGGCTGGCTTTGAACCACAATCCTTGTATCTCAGCCTCCTGAGTAGCTAGGATTATAGGTGTGAGCCACCAGCACCTGGCTACATTTTTTAAAAAGCAGTACTAGGGTTTGAACTCAGAGTCCATACTTGCTAAGCAGTTACTCTACCACTTGAGCCATATTTCTAAGCCCTTTTTGCGCTATTTTTTAAAATAAGGACTCAATTTTTGCTCAGGCCAACCTGGACCATAATCCTAATTATGCTTCCTCATCTGAGATGGTAGGGGCACACCACAACACCCAGCTTTTCCTTTTTTTTTTTGGTTGGTCGTGAGGCCTGAACTCTAGGCCTGGGCACTGTCCCTCAGCTCTTCAGCTCAAGACTAGCACTCTACTAACTGAGCCACAGCACCACTTCTGGCTTTTTCTGCTTATGTGGTGCTAAGGAATCGAACCCAAGGCCTTGTGTTGCAAGGAAAGCACTCTACCACTGAGCCACCTTCCCAACCCTGCAGCTTTTCCTCTTGAGATGGGATTGCAAGAACTTTTTGCCTGGATTACAGGTACCAGGTGGAAGAAGATTGAAGAATTGTGAGTTAAGAGTCCAATCTGAAGCCGGGCGCTGGTGGCTCACGCCTGTAATCCTAGCTACTTAGGAGGCTGAGATCTGAGGATCAAGGTTCAAAGCCAGCCCGGGCAGGAAAGACCGTGAGACTCCTATCTCTAATAAACCACTAGAAAACCGGAAGTGGCGCTGTAGCTCAAGTGGTAGAGCGCTCGCCTTGAGCTAAAGAGCTGAGGGACAGCGCCCAGGCCCAGAGTTCAAGCCCCACGACCGACAAAAAATAAATAAATAAATAAATAAATAATAATAAAGAGTCCAATCTGAGCTACATAGAGACCTTGTCTCAAAAACAAGATGGGACTGAAAGGGGTGACATTGACTAAGATGCCTTGTATTCATTTACTACTTCTCCTGGGGGCATTGCTCAAGTGCTCAAGAGCACTAGTCTAGCATGGGTGAGGCCTGTAATTCAGCGACAGGCAGGAGGATCTCAAGTTGGAGACCAGTCTGGGTTGGCAAGACTATTTCTAAAACAAAACAAAGCTTGTTGGTTTTAAATGTAAAGAAAGTATTCATTTAGCACACTTCCAGTTAAGACTAGAGCAATATTGAGAAGTTATGTGTTTAATCATTTCTTTGCAGTGCTCATGGCCCTTTCATCACGGCTCAATGTGAGCCCTCTGACGCCTGCCCTTACTACCCTGGAAGGGCTTCCAGCAGCTGTCCTAAGCAGCCAGCCTAGGCTCTTAACCTCTCTCTCCAACAAGTTCTGAGCTGCTTTACCATTGAGGTTCCTGCTGGGAAGGGTGACAAGAGTTCCCCTGCACCATAGCCAGCGCCTCTTCCTCCACTGGTAGCACTGGGCAGGAGCACATTACCAGGCTACCACACTTTCCCTGGGCTTCATTTTGGTCCGGCTCTGGCCAGTTCCCGCATTACTCATTTTTGTGCCGTCACATAAGTTTATGGTAGGCACAAGGAGGTCGCCATTTCAGGCTCTGCTGAGTCCAGGACCTGAGGGACAGACGGGAGTAAAATTACCCAGCCCTGCAGGTGGGGAGCTGTCGGGAAGCTCAAGTCTGCAGTACTTACAGCTAATGGATTGTGCTTGCATGGGTGCATGGTGATTGACAGGGAACCAGAGCTTAAGTGAAATCATGTGTGTGGAAAATGGCCTGCACCACAGCTTGCAGGGTGAGGCACATGGTCTCCATTCTTCTGTCACCACAGCCTGAAGAACTGTGTGACCATGGCTGCGTGTCCATGAAACCATTTATGGACACTAAAACTTAATTTCCTCTAATCTTCCTGTCAAAATATTCTTCTTTAGATTTTGATCATAAACCTTCATATTTCTAGCTCAGGGGGCCACATGCAGGCAGCACTATATGCTAGTCTGCCAATTCCTCCTTTAGAGAAAATAATTTTTAGAGGCTAGGAGTGTGGCTTAGTGGTAGAATGCTTGCCTAGCATGCATGAAACCCTAGGTTCGATTCCTCAGTACCACATAAACAGAAAAAGCTGAAGTGACACAGTGGTTCAAGTGGTAGAGTGCTAGCCCCAAGCAAAAGAGCTCAGAGATTCTGGGCGCTGGTGGCTCACACCTGTAATCCTAGCTACATGGGAAGCTGAGATCTAAGGATCGCAGTTCAAAGCCAGCACAAGGAGGAAAGTCTGTATCTTCAGTAAACCACCAGAAAACCAGAAGTGGTGCTGTGGCTCAAGTGGTAGAACGCTCACCTTGAGCTGAAGAGCTGAGGGACAATGCCCAGGCCCAGAGTTCAAGCCCCAGGACTGGCAAAAAAA